GGGCGTAGGCGTGCGCCGACGGGCGGAGGAAGAGGGAGGGGTGCTCGTAGACCAGTTCCAGGGGGTCGACAGGGGAGTCGGCGGCGAGGGTGCGGTAGATCTGGAGGAGGTGGGCGGGAGCTGTGGCCGGAGAGGAGAGGAGCTGGGTGAGGGAGGTGAAATCTGCAGTTGAGAAGAAGTGTCTTGGGTTGGTCGGGGACGTGAGGATCTCGGGCGCTGTGGTTGTCGATGCATCCTCGGCGAGCGCGGCATCTCCGGAAGAGGTGGAAGATCCCGTGGGGGACGAGGGGAGAAGAGATGAGATGTGGGATAGAAGATTGGTAGTGGGTGGGAGGAGGGCTTGTTTGAGAAGTTCCTCGTCGACCTTTTCCTCGCGCAGACGATGGGTGAGGTGCTTGCGTTGGAAGACAGCGAGCTTGTCCGGGTTTGTCTTGATGTTGCCCTTTGTGAACCTGAGGGAGAACTGCGACATGATGTGAGAGGCTTATCACAATGCCCAGTCCTCCGATTGGAGACGGGGAAGACTCTGGTACATACCTTTTGGGCAAGCTGGTTTGTGCTATAAAACACCTCGCCGCCTTTGGCGAGGTCCTTCTCGTTCATGCTCCAGCCCAGCAGCGCGAGCCAGTTGTTGAGTGCGGAGGGGAGGATGCCCTTGTCGCGGTAAGACGAGATGTCGATGTCGTGGTTGCGCTTGCTGAGCTTCTCGCCGTTCTGGGCGCAGAGCAGACCGGCATGGGCAAAAGTTGGGGGTTCCCACTTGAAGGCGTCGTAGAGGGCGATGTGCTTGGGCGTCGAGATGAGCCATTCCTGCATCAGTGTAAGCTTGGCTAGGGAATATTTGTTGAACAGAGGGGGAGCAAGCATGAAGGGCGACGCACAGCACCGCGGATGACGTGAGTAATCTCCATGAGGTGATCGTCGATCACATTGGCGAAGTGGTAGGTCGGGTACCCGTCACTCTTGACGAGGATAAAGTCGTCCTCGTCTTCGTTCTTCTGGTAGTTGCCGTAGACCCGGTCGATGAAGGACGGGCGGCCCTCGCTCCGAAAGCGGACGACATGCTTCTCGCCGTTGGCAGCACGGCGTTCGGCCTGAGACGGCGTTATGCCACGGCACGTCCCCGGGTAGTGCGCTGAGCCACCGCCGTCGTCGAGGACCTGCTGCTTGTGACGCTCAAGATCGTGCGCCGTGCAGAAGCAGCGGTAGGCCTTGCCCTCTTCAAGGAGCTGGGCGGTGTACTGCTTGTAGTAGTCCAGGCGTTTTGACTAGGGCAAGTTTAGATAAGTGGTCTGACGGCGATGGGGGGGGGGGGGGATGGATAAGGGGCTTACTTGTTCGTAGGGTCCGTAAGGCCCGCCGACGTCAGGGCCTTCGTCCCAGTTCAGCTCAGCCCATTTGAGGTCTGCGAGTAGACGCTCGACGGCATCATCGACGATGCGTGTCTTTGTGGTTTGTTAGTTTTTGATCGTCTACCATAAGCGACGAGTCTCGACTCACCCGGTCTGTATCTTCAACCCGGATAATGAACTGCCCGCCAGTGGCCCGTGCAATAAGCCAGTTGAAAAGAGCGGTCCTCAGAGACCCCAGGTGGAGGTATCCAGTAGGCGACGGGGCGAAGCGTGTCCTGGCCGGCTTGTCAGGCAGTTCGCGAAGCCTCTTGTCGGCCAGCGGCGGCAGCTTCTTCCTCAGCGCTTGGAAACCGCCCTTTACGGACGACGAGTGCCATCTCGGGGTGCCCACGCTTCGGCACCGACCGCATGCATTGAGCGAGCGCTGGAAGACGGGCCTGCCCTGCTGTCTCAGAGCTATCATGGACATTTCATAGGCATTTGCCACGACGCTGCAATGTCGCCAAAGTACCGCTGTCGTTGATGAAAGGACGTATTCGGCGATGAAATTTGAGCTCCAGCCACGCAAATGTGGCGCAGTCAGCATTCATCAAGCGAGGTCAGTGCATCGCCAATGCTGGCCTGGTATGTAACCCGGCCCATAGCCGTCAAGATAGATTTTGAGCACTTTTCTTGCTACGTGCGTCACAGACATGAGGAGAGAGAGGCTTTACAGAAGAGACCACTGGCTAGCGCCTCGAGTGTGTGTCCCGTGGTCGGTTTAGGAAACAGTGTCATGTCGTCCGACCGGCCAAAAGCCTCGCTCTGTTGAAGACGAGCTCGGATGACACCGACGGATTCTGAACAGCATGTCCAGAAGACCCAGGTCATTGTAGCTAAACTGGGAGAAGATTTGGTATCAAGAAAGCTTGTTGGACTTAAGCTTGGTGCCTCAGCGGCCTCGTCATCAACAACCTCTGGCTGGTCGAGTGTCTGCTTTACTCGTGAAAGTGGGCATGGCAACTACCGACCTGGACTCGTGTCTGGAACAGAACGCCGAACAGCCGTGCAACTAGATGGCTGTAGCATGACTGGATGCTGACAAAGAAAACTACCATAAACCTTACCAAGGCTCTTGTAATACCCAGGATAAATGAGTACCCAACAAAACCGAGTATGCAAAATAGTGGCTGCGCACTATGCTAATGAACAGGTCTAGGGGGATGTTGGCGGGCCACAGAACGGGGTACCCAGATGACCTAGGTACCTGATACCCACCACGCACTCCGAGGAGAGCCTGGGGTCGTTTAGGGACCGTAAGGGGCCGCGCGCCCCGTAAGGCACTTACTGCATGCTCACGTACCCCGCCAAACAAAGGGCCGCCGCGACAGGTACTCTAGACAAAATATTTTCAGTACTACTCCACATCCCACCATTTTCACACCCCCAAACCACGTCTCGAAGGTCGAATCTCGAGCGAATCTTTAGCCCGAGTACCCTTCGAAAAGCCTCAACCATGGATAGTGGTGGATCAAGCGCCGGTCTCGACATGTCGGGGGAGGAAGACATTGATCTCTATGGTAAGTCTCTGCTGATGGAGCCTAGGGAGGGTACTTGAGTTTCTCGCTGTGGATCACATCTGACGCATTCCTCCAGAGCTCCTTGGGATCGATAAGGATGCCTCACAGGATCAAATCAAGAAGGCATACCGCAAGGTTCGTGTTAACTCCCACGATTGGCGAAAAAACCGTTGACGGTATCGCATGCAACAATCTCGTGCTAACTCGTCGTCTTCTCCATTCAGGCTGCCCTTCTTCACCACCCCGATAAAGTCCCTGAGGAACGCAGGGAAGAGTCGGAAGCCAAGTTCAAGGCTGTCAGCCAGGCTTATGAAATCCTTAAGGATGAGGACAAGCGCCACCTCTACGACACCCACGGAATGGCTGCCTTCGACCCCTCGCGGGGCGGCCCCGGTGGTCCCGGCGGCGTCGAAGTTGATCTCAACGACATCCTGTCACAAATGTTTGGCATGGGCATGGGCGGCCCCGGAGGCCCTGGCGGTGGTCCCAGAAGACCCCGTCGCGGCCCCGACGAGGACCAGCCCTACAAGGTTACGCTCGAGGAGTTGTACAAGGGCAAGACCGTCAAGTTCTCGGCGAACAAGCAGGTCGTCTGCGGCACCTGCAAGGGAACCGGCGGCAAGGCCAACGTCAAGCCCCAACAGTGTGAGAAGTGCCGAGGCGCCGGTATGACCGACGCCTTCCGCCAAGTCGGTCCAGGTCTGGTGCGCAAGGAGACTGTCATTTGCGACCGTTGCGAGGGATCCGGCAACTTCTACAAGGAGAAGGACCGCTGCAAGAAGTGCAAGGGCAAGCGCACGACGTCCGAGACCAAGGTTCTCGAGATCTACATCCCCAGAGGCTCTCAGAACGGCGAGAGGATCGTCCTGGAGGGTGAGGCAGACCAGCTCCCCGACCAAACACCTGGAGACATTGTTTTCCATTTGGCCGAGGAGCCCCACGACGAATTCACCCGCATTGGCAACGACCTGTCTGCCGAGCTGAACATTACCCTGGCCGAGGCTCTTGGTGGCTTCTCCCGGACTGTTTTGACGCACCTCGACGGTCGCGGCATCCACATGGAGAGACCGCGCGGCAAGATCCTTCGCCCCGGCGACATTCTCAAGGTCCCCGGCGAGGGTATGCCTTACAAGCGCGGTGATACCAAGGGTGATTTGTACCTAATCGTCAATGTCGAGTTCCCCGAGGATGGCTGGCTGAAGGACGACAAGGAGTACGATGCTCTGAACAAGCTCCTCCCGCCCCCGCCTCCGGCAATTGAGGCCGACGAGGTTGACGAGGTTGAGTATGAGGAGGTGGATAGCCTAGACTCGGTAAGTTTCTGACAAAATTTGCCTAAAGAAGGCGCAATTTTGGACTAGCACTAACATTTGTCTACAGATGGGAGCCAACTCGGGCGACCCGCGGTTCGGCGGCGAATGGGAAGACGAGGAAGAGGATGACGGCCAGCCCCAGTGCCAGCCCCAGTAAGAAGGCGTTAGGATGATACGGGAATTTAGAGGACAGAGTCTTTGGGCTTGACGCCCTGAACCTCACGACAGACATGACGACCGGGACAGTGTAGGGTGATCATAGACAGGGATTGGAGAGGAGTTTTGTTTGTTAGGTTGGGGCATCATCCCGCTCATGAATGAAAGGCACACCGCGAACGGGGCCAAATCGCTTCTTAGTTTTCAAGAACTTGAGCAATCAATGTGCACAGTCATGAAACGGGAATAAGACCAAGCGTGTATGACGCTTCCACTTTCACTTCATTGCTTGAGTCCTCGTGGTAAGCGAGCATATGACATTAGACCTGACTATCTATCACTGCATTAAGCAAATAGGAATTTATCATCTTGAATGAAAACCTTTGCTACAAACGTGGATTTTGTCACTTGTTAGCTTAAGAGCAGCCAGGCAAGCAATAAAGGCGGTTAGAGGGTGCTTTGATCGCTTGGTGTCATGCTGTTGTTGTTTTTTTCTGGGAGAAAACATGGTAGCTAAGAAGGACCACTCCCATAGAGTATCCAACCACCCCACAAGTCAAGGAGGGGTCACACAGTTGATAGGGGGATTTAGACCCCACTTGTAACAACCATCCATAACCTCCCATGTAGTATAGTGGTTAGTATATTCCGCTTTCATCTTGACATGGGATCCGGAAAGTCCCGAGTTCGAACCTCGGCGTGGGAATACAATTTTTGCTTTTTCTCTCTGTGCTTGCCAGACGACCCTTTCCTTCGTCAACAACGTCGGCAGCCTACGACCTCACTGCCTTGAGACTTGTACAGTGAGGCACACAGGGAGTCAGCAACCCGGGTGGGGTCTTTTATTTTAATTTTTAAGCAGGGACCTCGTCCCATCCCATTGGCTCTTAATGAAGAAAAAAAAGGCCCTGCGACATACACCCACCCCTAAGACCCAGATCGCTAGCGCCCCATAATCCCACACGTGACAATTTTGGTTGCCCACAAGATTCCCACTCGAAATGCAAAACTAAAGCGCTCCTTCGAAAAAAAAACCTACCCTTACTCTTGACGACGAACGTTCACCCCCCCGACTAACCGCAGGAAAGCCGTCAAGGTGAGAGACAATCGCCGCCGCCCTCACGATCGAGTTATTGTCGTTTTATCGATCGACTGCTAACGTTGATTTACGCAAAGATGGTCGCCGCAAAGAAGCACGTTCCTATCGTGAAGAAGCGTATGTTTTTCTCCCCCTCCCAGCAGCCTTCACACTTCGGCCACCCCTCTACGACCCCGCGCCCCCGACAATGACGACGATGATACAAATCTACCGACGAGCGAGACCTGGGAAATATGAACGAGAGGATTGACGGGTGTAATTTTGAATAGGCACGAAGCTCTTCAACCGCCACCAGTCGGACCGCTTTATGCGCGTCGACCGATCATGGCGCAAACCCAAGGGTATTGACAACCGTGTCCGCCGTCGCTTCAGGGGCAACACCCAGATGCCCTCGGTATGTGGATCACCTTCCCGCTGGTGCTGGACCTTCGTCAAAAGGAGAGGTCTGTTGGTGGCAGACGACTACAGACGGATGGGTCCTCGAGGATGAACAACCGCTGATCCAAGTTTTGCATATCACAGATTGGCTTCGGTTCCAACAAGAAGACCAAGTACATGATGCCCTCCGGCCACAAGGCCTTCCTCGTCAGCAACGTCAACGACGTCAACCTCCTGCTGATGCACAACCGCACCTACGCTGCCGAGTACGTAGACCCCCTTTCTACCTGTCTCATGCCACGCTTGCTTTCCGATAACAAGCCATGTGATGTCGATGATCCCGGCTAAGTAACTAACAATTCGTTCCAGGATCGCCCATAACGTCTCTTCCAGAAAGCGTATCGACATCATCTCCCGCGCGAAGCAGCTTGGCGTCAAGGTCACAAACCCCAAGGCCAAGGTCACCACCGAGGTTTAAGCGAACAAAGCCAGGAATGGTGGCGTGGAATCAGCTATTCGGGGCGAAGGGGATCAATGGTTTTCGCCGGTCACTTGCGTTGTGCTCTCTCATATTCAGGGAACGGGAATGCATCGGAAAACGGTTTCTGCTGCGGCGATGATTCAGGGCTGCGGCTTGGCATGGCCCGTATCGTTGTGCTAGGAAATACAAAAACAAAACACAACCGCAGCCACAACCCAAAAATTCAACGACTTGATGTTCTTTTCAGGGCGTGTTGTTCTCATTACATACGTCTGATATCCACAAAGACACAAAAATGGCGTTGGATGGGGGGGCAGGGAAAAACAGAATCCTTCATATGCTCGGAAATTCGAGAATATCACCAACCCCATTGGCCCTGTTACTTCTCGTTACTCTCCCGTGTGCAAGTGAAGGACGCTGACAATGCCATGCACCCGCGCCTGTCCATAAGATCTCATCCCAGCATTAAGAAAGCCGTCTTGAGATGCTGCATCAACATGAAGCACCCACCAAGCATTGGTCCTCCTGGTTCCTGACAACTTGGTCCATATCACCTGGTCTGTAAACCCATCTGCAATGTGTAGAGATTGCCCGTGGAGATACTATATACTAACTAGTCTTACTTGTCTTGGCACACTTCTAGCACAATATAATTGGTCAAGCGAGGTCGAGGATAAGACACAAATAAAACACCAATGATCTCCTACTCATCACAGTAAGTAACCTTTTAACCGGGAATTTACGTGAAAATTGTGTATTATCTAGGTAGCTCATTTCGTCATGCCCTCATTCCCTTTGTATTGCATCGCAACCGTCCCTCGCGCGCAGCGATACAAGGAACCCCATAAGGACAGGCATGGATAGGCAGGAAACGCTCGCTTCCCCATCCCCGAATCGTAAATGAAAAACGCCTTGGTATCCGTGGTCTCATTAGAACAAGAATGAAATGGAAGTGTTGTCAATGGGGCTTGTGGTAGTGATCGTCGAGACGAGGAAGACGCTCTCGACGCCTGCGCGGACTGGGCGGTGTTGTTCCTGTCGTCGTACCCAACGCTTCGGCCCAGGGCGGAAATGCGCCTCGCCTATCTGAAGCAGTGGAAACGGCCGATGCGGAAGCGCCAGGGACCGCGGCGAATGCCATGACGGTCCGCATGGACGCTGGTGCCGAAGTTGCGGCCACCGATGGGCTTGGAGTAGAAGAAGGGCATGGTCGCGTTTTGATGGATTGTGTGGTTTGCTGGAGGCATTGTCAGCACAAGGTTCGGATGGTGCGAAATCTCCAAAGGAGCCGAAAGCTGGAATGTGGAGTGGGGGTAGTTAGTGAACTTACCCTAGGATGTATGATTGCTGGTAGGGAGCAAAGTTTGTTGTTTGATAGTGGCTTGGACAACGACTTGTAAGACTGGGTGGACGATGTATTGTATCTTATATGCGTCTTGGTACAGCAGCGGTGAAAGAAGGAGGCCACCGGGGTTTTGGTTGAACAAGGTAATAATAACGAGCTAGCAGACATCCCTTGGCTTGCTTTCCCCAACCTTTCTTGGATTGGCTGGCTCTCCATGGCGGTGGTGTTGTATGCCAAGAGCTCATTGTGAGGGAAGGTGACGTAGGGCGTGGCTGAGCAGCGGGTGATGTGTTTGCATGTTGTGGCTGGGAGCTATCCGTTCAATATAACATTAACAGTGAAGGAGGGCGCCAAGTGGCCCCTTGGGCGGGTAAGCAAGGGATGATCGCTGTCTGGTTGGTCGGTTCATATTTGGTCTCAGGTTCATATGGTTGATCATGGGTTCTGGGCCTCCTCTGTGGCTGACATGGTGCTTGGTATCGGACATGAATACTGTGCTTATCCAACTCCATTGGTGTATTATTGTGCACTTGTGCCACCTGAAAAGGGACCGCCTTGAATACGTACAATATTTCGGCCAAATGTGGCTGCGGGAGGGTCCGCTAAAGTGAGGTACTAGGTATGGGAAATGACGTGCGGCGAGCTAAGGTGCAAAAGATTGGTCGATCGTGAGATTGGTCAGACCCTCCTGCTTCCTGACATCGTTTCTTCTCCCTCATTGCCTTTGCGGCGTTCTCCTTCTCACAAGAGTCACGATAAAGTCTGGGAAATTGGACATGCGAACACTGATCCGGGTCACAGCTCTTCCCTTGCGCGTGAAATTTGTTCGGCAAAATCGTAATCATACTTCGACTTGATGCTCATGCTTGTCCATCACTCGCCGCATACCGCATCGCGTTCTTAGGCCACTGAACCTGGTGACGAAAGCACCATTTATCCAGAAGAATGCTACGCAGCCGGTGACCAAGTATGTTTTCACATACATAGTCGTCCGCTATTCGCTGCAGCCTGAATGCCAATATCAACGACACACGGCTGCCTCTCCCCGTCCTCCCCGAGCATTAAGGTGATTCAAGAAGCTCATAGCATCTGTCTCCATGCCCCAACCATAACCATCATAGAAGCGGTTCGCATAGGTTTTTTATTTTTTTACTTTTTGGGTTTTCTTGGGGTTTTTTTTTTTTTGCAACCCAAATCAAAAACAGCCACAGTACGGCTGGCAGATGTCTCGGTACTAGTGCGTTGAGATTACGCGCTCCCCAACGGGCAGACTGCCATCCACGGCCAGCACCTGCCTCTCTGATTTTTTGACAGTGCTTTATTCCTATCATGGAAGCATATTTTTAGGTTCATGTAGTTTTGCCGTACGCCTTAAACTTCTCTTCACATATGTGGCATATTTAGAGACAATTATCCCATGCATGGCAAGGGACCCAACCGGTATTTGATTGATACTTCGAAAGCAGCAACTCATCTCGCACCCTAACAAGGCTGTACGAGCATCGCATACTCACCCACGTTAACCTGCTTGAATTTTTCCCCTATAGATACCACGTACTGAATGTCGGTCAGACGATGTGTTCATAGGCAATGCCAGCTAGCACGGACTACCCGAGTGCATTTCGAGTTCGATCAGACAATCTTATCGGCGGATTGCGGTTGACAGCTCTATGCTGTCACCCCGGGGTTGGACTTCATTCCCAAAATCTGATGCTACGGTTCCCTTTGGTTGATCAACTCGGAGTATACTTCAGCGAAATGTATAGTTGTTGAAGGGCTTGGTGGCCAGAGGCGTATTGACCATACGGCTTGATGAGTTGTCGAGTGACCTAGATTAAGAGTAAAGCTGGCCAGATCACTGGACTGATATAATCTGAAGACGCAGAAGGTATTCCTTTAAAATTTACCCGCTGCTTTCTGTACGGTCACCTACAGCTTCATCGTATGCAAACCACCGGTAAGGTGCGGCTTTCTCATGGAGCGACAATGGCATTAAACTTCAAGTCGTATAGTCACGTCTGCGCATAATGAAAGCCCTGCAGCTGCATGCTTACTCAAGAAGCGCTTAGAGTCATGCAGAATGGCATCGAGATGCCATTCTGTACGGAAGCGGTGATATATAGGGTCCCTACGTCATGGCACTTGGGTGCTTCCCCGCAATTAGCTTCATATGAGGCTTAAACCACAACGACTTCCCTCCTCGCTGCAAACAACGTAGCAGTCCATGGCGACATAGGCCACATCAAACGCCCGAAGCATTTAATTCATACCCGACCGGGCCGGATGCCGTTTGTCTCGGATCGAAAAGCGGCGTCGGCTTGACGCAATAAGCTCTTTATAATCGTGATTGCTAATCCGAAAAGGCCAGCATTCCGATGTGAGACACTGCTAGCATATGGATGG